AAAAAAAAAAAAAAAAAGAGTCTTAAAAAAATTTCATTTCATTCCCAGCCACTATCTTACTATAAATGCATGAGAAGCCCCATGAAAGAACCACATAGCTGGGCCTAATCAATGCCTACAATGGTAACATAATAAAATGATTTATTTATTTTTTTTTTGCAGTTTTTGGCCGGGGCCAGGTTTGAACTCACCACCTCCTGTATATGGGGCCAGTGCCCTACTCCTTTGAGCCGCAGGCACTGCCCAATGTTATTTTAAACTACTGACTTTAAAGGTGCTTTCTTCCACAGCAGTACATAACCAGAAGAGTATTTTTTATATAAAGTACTTGTCTTGGGTATAACAATACTAGTCCCAACTATTCACAAAAGATATACCCAAGAAAACACTCCATTATCTATACATATTTATATGTGAAAACTAACCTATATAATACAGGGATTCTGATTTCAGTTAATGCAGAATAATCACACTCAATACACTATCTCCCACTGAATGCATCTTTAAAACCTAAACAAAAGAATGCATAGATCATATATTTGAGAAATCTGAAAAGTAAATTATACCAGGTAAATTGAAGGGGAATACCATAATTTGAATTAAAACTGAACTGGCAGTGAATTTACTCTTTTTTCCCACAGTCTCTACTAGACTGAATTCAACACAGGCCAAAATCCTTAAGGGGATGTCAATATGGACAGAGAGAGCTCCAGGAAAAGCATGATCATATTCATTGATGCAGAAAAAGTGTTTGACAAATTTCAACATCCATTCATGATACCTTTTAGGAAAATAGATTTGATAAAGAACATGTGCCTCCAAAACTATAGCTAGCATCATTCTTAAGGTGAAAAACTAAATTCTTTCTCCCTAAGATCAGGGAAAAGGCAAGGAAGTCCATTATCACTGCTTCTAGCGATAAAATTCCAAAAGAATTTTTGGTAAATATAGATAAGAGAAATTTAAAATTAGTAGGAAAGTCTGGCTCTGGCATCTGTGGCTCAAGCAACTAAGGCGCCAGCCACATACACCTGAGGTAGTGGGTTCGAATCCAGCCTGGGCCCACCGAAAACAATAATGACGGCTGCAACCAAAAAAAAAAAAAAAATAGCCGGGCACTGTGGTGGGTACCTGTGGTCCCAGCTACTTGGGAGGCTGAGGCAGGAGACTTGCTTGAGCCCAGGAGTTGGAAGTTGCTGTGAGCTGTAATGCCACAGCACTCTACCCAGGGGGATTGCTTGAGGCTCTGTCTCAAAAAAATAAATAAATAAATAAAATTAGTAGGAAAGTCAACATAACTGGAATAGCCAAAACAATTTTGAAAAAGAAGAACAAATAGAGGTCTCACACTATCCAATTAAAAATAATATAAAGCTACTATATAAACTAATAAGGTATAATCAAGGTAGGATGGTATTGGTGAAAGAATAAATTTATAGATCACTG